CCAACAGCCATTTGTTTCCAGAGTCACAATTTATAATCATCTCAACAATAGACAGGATCAAGTGTTGATTAGATCCCACTTAACCAGCCCTGGAGCACCACTTTCTTAAGCCCCTCGATCCCTCTCTGGCGGCTCAGACAGGAGAGCCGGCCACTCTGAGCCTCCACAGGGGAATCTCTTGTCCCCATCCACTCCTCTTATGTTACAGTTACGATGAGTATATTAATGCCTATATCTTCCCAGGGCTATTTTTTTCTGCCTTGCATTATTCCGTAAAGGTCTTCCCCACACCTCTGAATTCCCCAGACTTCTCAACCTGAATCACATTCACACATTTCCTTCCGTGAACACTCCATAATTTATTTCACCGTTTCCCTGTTGTTCGACGTTTCAAAGGCATCTAGTATTTTTATCATTACGGATGACACACTGCCATAACTATCTTTGGTGCCTCATTTTCCCTTCTGAGCTTCTAGTGTTCATGATTTCACTAGCTCGGAGTTCACATCATCCAGATCCTTTCTCTTTTAAAACATTGGAATATTAATCTGTCCCCGTTGTCCATGGCTCCTGGGAGTCTGCCATCAATGGCGGAGCGAGGCTTGAATACTGTAAAGGCAATCTGGATATTTTCTCCTGTTTTCATTCCCTCCATCATTGTCTTCTACCCTTTGGTGGTCTGGGAGCATTCTCCATAGTTGAAGAAAATGAAGATGAAGTCTGCCTTCTCTCTAGAGTGATCAGTAGAGCTCCCTAGCCCCTAACCCATGATGAAATTAGAGGATAGAAGGTCCAGATAGGAGAGGGGATGAGGTGTTTCAGCTTTTGAGTGCTTACAGTGACAGCTGGTGAAGGGCAGGAAACTTTGAGTAGTCCACATCCGGAGAAGTTAACTAAAACCTGGGAGGGGCTCATTCTATACATTAGTGAGATTTCAATCCCTTCAGACTCACATGAGCCACTAAACAAGAGATTTAATTAACTTGACGGAATTATAGGGCAACTACAGACTAAAGGATCAGCCTGTCTTTGGTAACTCTGAGAAAGGAGATCACATCTGGCAGTTGAGGGTGTCCAAATGACTCAGGCACCTCAAACTCAACATGTCCAAAACAGAACTCATTATCTTTTTTCATTTCAATTTTATTTTCTTTTCAGTTCCAAATTCTGTCCCTCCTTCCTCCCCCTCACTGACCCATGAGAAAGCAAGAAAGACTATGTTTAGCCAACCAGAGCAAATTGCTACTACATTAGCCCATGTCGAAAAATAAATTCACGCTCGTGGGTCCATCAGCTCACTCTCTGGAGGTGAGCAGCATGTTTCATCACGAGTCCTTTGGAGCTGTGGTTGGTCATTGCATTGATCAGAATTCCCAAGTCTTTCAAAGTCTTTATACTGTTATTGTCATAATAAATCGTACAAATGTGCATGAACTGTTCTGGTTCTGCCCACCTCACTCTGTAACAAGTCACACAAATCTTCCCAGGTTTTTCTGAAACAATCCTTTTCATCATTTCTTCCAGACATCTCCAGGCTTCCTGATCTATCTCTGGCCACTGGCCCCAGATGGCTCCAGAGGAGAAAGTGAGGCTGGTGACTCTGCACAGCCCTGCCTCACTTAAATCCAATTCTCTCGCATGTCACAGCATCCCCTCCCTGATGCCATGGTCCTCTTCATGAACAAAGGACAAACAACATCAGTAATATTCCATCACAATCATCTACCATAACTTGTTCAGCCATTCCCCATTTGACGGGCATGCCCTCAGTTTCCAATTCTTTGCCACCACACAAAGAGCTGCTATAAAGGGTTGTTCAGTCATTTCAGTCATGTCTGACTCCTTGTGACCTCATTTGGGCTTTTCTTGGCAAAGATACCCCTACAGGTTTGCAATTTCCTTCTCCAGCTCATTTTACAGATGAGGAAACTCATCTGCAAACAGGGTTAAATGACTTGCCCAGGGTGATACAGTCAGTGTAGGGTGTCTGACCCCTCACCTCACTGGACACGATATTGGAGGGTGTCTGAGCGCCTACCCCACCCCACTGGGCATGGAATGGTAGGGTATCTGAGCCCCTCTCCATCCCATTAGACAGTTCAAATCCCACCTCAGACATTCACTTGACCCTGCTCAAGTCATTTCTCCTCTGTCTGCCACAGTTTCCTCAACTTCAGATGAGGGAAATAATAGCACCTGCCTTTCAGGGTCACAGTGAGAATCAAATAGAAAACATTGGTAAATCTTAGCACTGTGCCTGGCACATAGTAGATGACTAATAACTGCTTCTTCTCATTACCCACTTCTCTCTGACCCAAGGTCACACAGCTTCTAGGTATCTGAGGCTGGATTTGAACTCAAGCCTTTAGACTCTAGGCCAAGTGCTCTGCCCCCTTCTTCCTAGTATATTGATTTAGGGCTGTACGGTATCAAGTCCAACCTTCTGATTTTACAAAAGAGGAAACTAAGGCACCCAGGTACAGAATTAAAATTCAGTACAGGGGCAGCTAGGTGGTGCAGTGGATAGAGCACCCACCCTGGAGTCAGGAGGACCTGAGTTCAAATACAGTCTCAGACACTTGACACTCACTAGGTGTGTGACCCTAGGCAAGTCACTTAACCCCATTGCCTAGCCCCCTCCCCAAAAAAAAAGAAAAGAAAAATTCAGTACAAGTCTGTCCAAGACAAATGTATTAATTAAATGATTTTAATTCACACAAAGAATCGGACATCCAGAACTTAAATGACTTTCCCAGAACTCCAAAGCTAGGCAGTGTCTAAGGCAGATTTGAACTCTGATCTTCCAGATTCAGAGGCGGGTATCTTAACCCTTTGATGATCCTGGGAGATGCTGAGGCCCAGGACTCCACAATCCCTGGCCGTTAGGAGCCTGGGCCTCCACAGTGGCCCATCCTAACGTCCAGCTCCCAGCCCGTGACACCCAGACCAGAATGCCCTTCCCTGGCCAGCCCTCCCTGGGTGTCCTCACATTTTCATTCCCAGCCATCCGGGTCCCTTTGGCTCTGGGAGCACGGGGCCAGAAGACTAGGGGCTGCCTGGGCTTCTCCACCTTGGATTCGGAGAGCCAACCACCATTCCAAGGGGCACCAACTGTCGTAGCCGTAGCATTGGTAAGATCCCTGGTGATCGGGGGGCCGCTGGGATGAGGAAGGCGGTCTGGCTCTCCTTTGCTCCAGAGCTCTGTCGTCTCCCTTCCGGGACAGAGAGAACACATCGAACACGGTGGAGGATGACCTTCTCCCTGAGGTTACCAGGGGGCTGGACATGGCCAAGAGGGGAGGACTGGGGACTACAGTCCTGAGAGAGAAAGCAGACCCTCAGGAAGGAGGAGACCCAGCCCTGAGACCATCCGGCCTCTTCTCCTCAGATGCCAATGGAGTGAGAGACCAGCCCTGGACCTTCCAAGCTGAGACCGCCTCCCACCCACACCCAACCTAGGGCAGAGCTGATCGCTATGGCCCCACTGGCTTCTCAGGGGCAGGGGATCCCTAGGGACACACCAGGCACCCTGGCCTCGGCAGCAGCAGCAGAGTCAGCGCTCACACTTGCTATGGACATCTGGACCTGGCTCCCTGGCCAGGGCACATTCTGGGGCTTTCTCTGGGCAGTACAGGTAAGCCCACGAAGGCCCTTGGCACCAGAATGTCCCAGGATTCCCCTCAGGAACTATGGGCCAAGGGGAAGCGGAGATGGACAGTTTAGGAAGGATCCCTGGAAGGGAAGCAGGGCTCTGGATGACCGGGTCTTCCTTTCTTTTTTTTTTTTAATTTGGTTAGGCAGTGGGGTTAAGTGACTTGCCCAGGGTCACACAGCTAGTAAGCGTTGTGTGTCTGAGGTCAGATATGAACCCTCCTGAATCCAGGGCTGGTGCTCTATTCACTGCGCCACCTAGCTGCCCTCAAATCGTTTCTTAATGACCACCTCCAGCCCTCCTCTGGCCTAGGGTGGGGAGGGAAGAAGTAATGAGTTTTTATTAAGTGTCAATTAGGTGCCAGTTTAGCTGGGCCAGTTTAGGCACCTGAAAATGGGATCTCATAGCATCCTGGTGTTGTAGGAAACTGAGGTAAGCAGAGGTTGCCTTGCCCACGGTCACTCAGCTAGGAAATATCCCTATTAGGCCACATTAAAGCTCAGGCTCAGACCCTTTGTGCACTGACTACCAGCTGCCTCTGGGGGATGGGGGGCACTGCCTGCCTCAGCTTGGGGGCGTACTGGAGGGGGGCTCAGCCCTCTGAGCTCTGGTCTTCTGGCCCAGCCCCCTGTCCCATTACCCCTGTCCTCCTCTCCCTATCCTGGGGGGCAGGTAGGGGCCTGGCCACCCCCAGAGCTCAGGCAGGGACACAGACTCGCTCACCCTGGCACAGAAGTCACAGTGAGAGGAGCCCCCCACTCCTTTGACCCTATTACTGCTCTCCCCCTCCCTCCCTAGGGACCCCCTTGCCTTCCCCCGCAGAAGCCCCTGTGTCCTCCCCCGCCCAAGAGCTCCCCAAGGCGGAACGGGGCATGGGGGCAGGGACCACAATCCTGAGCTGCTGTGTCAGGAAGGAGCAGATGCCTGAGACCCAGGGGAGAGGGGGAGGGTGGGAAGTTTAATGCCAGTCACTGCTGGGTATGGCCACCAGGGGGCGACGTGGGGTGCAGGCTGTAACCAGGCCGTCTTAGCGCCTTGCCGGTGAAATTGCAGGTGTCTGAGCCCTCCATTACCAGGGTCTGATATCGTCAAATGTCTGACGTCCCACAAATGGACGTGAAACCGTAAGGAGCCTGAGCGCCCCATACACGTAGAGATGGACGTGACGCTGTAGGCTGTCTGGGCCCCCTATGCGCGCGCACACACACACACACACACACACACACACGGTGATGGACGTGATGCTGGAGGCTGTGAGCCCCCCCCACACACCCACACCCACACCGATGGACGTGACGCTGTAGGGTGTCTGAGCCCCCCATATACACACACACACACACACACACACACACACACACTCTTGTGGACGTGACACTGTAGGGTGCCTGAGCCCCTCTCCCCCTCCCGGTGACGTCAGCAGGACGGTATCGCAGCAGTCTGAGCCCCCCCACTCACACACACACACAGATAGACGTGACGTTGTAGGGTGCCTGAACCCCCCATACGCACACACACACACACTGATGGACGTGACACTGTAGGGTGTCTGAGCCCCTCTCCCCCTCCCCCTCCCACGGTGACGTCAGCAGGGCGGTATCCCAGCACTCTGGGCCCCCTGGGCCAGACGTTCTCCCCCTTCTCGTCTGCGGTTACACGGACCCCGTGGGGGTGGGGAATCGCTGTCTGAGGCTGGCTTTGGGGGTCGTCCGGGTCCCCTGGCGGGCGCCCAGCCCCTCCTCGGTGCCCCCTCCTCTCAGCCTCGAGCGTCCCGGGGTGGGGGCGGCCTGGCCTGGGGCCGCGCTCTGCCGGTGTGGGGGAAGCCCAGCTGGCCCACGGGCCGCCCATCTCCGGGGAGTTGGGGAGTTTCCCATTGGAAGACGACCGAGGCCCTCGGGGCCAGTCTGGGGGCGCTCTGGGGCTTGGCGCCCCCGGGCACACAGTAGGTGCCTTGGACACGCGGAATGAGTGGGGGGGGGTCTGCTCCGCCCTCTCAGCCTCCCCCCCCACCCCCGCCCGTGCCAGAAGAGGAGCCCAAGGCCCCGGAGGCCCCGCTGCACTTCCTAGCCCGTGCCGGGCGGGGTCACGTGGGGGAGGCAGGGCCAATGGCAGGGCTGCTGCTGCCGCTGCACGCGGGCCGCTGTGGCTCCCACGTGCTCTCCGGCGGCAGGCTCCCGACCATGGGTCCCTGGCTGCCCGCTCTGCTCTGCCTCGGTGAGTCTGGCCTCTGGCCCTAGGCCCCGGAACCCCGACCCCTGCTGCGGGCCCCCGGGACGCGCCGGGCCCGTGGTGCAGGGGTGCGGACCGAGGCCCGCGGCCCTCCTGCCTCTCCCAGCGTGTCTCCCAGACTCAGTCTTCACCTCCGTAAATGGGGCGTTGGTCCTTTCCCCGGGAGTCGGGGAGGCCGGGTTTGGGGGGCAGTGGGGGGCGGCCTCTCACCAGGACCTCTTTGGCAGGGCTATGCCTGGGCCAGGAGACCAAGGCACTGAACAGTGAGTATAGGGGCTCCCCCCACCCTATGCCCGCTCGGCAGCCCCTCCGGGATCGGGGGCGGGGGGCGGGGGGGGGGGCCACCTGGAACCGCGGGCTCCGCTTCCCTTCCAGACGCGCTCCCCAAGCCCCTGATCATTTTCGAGAACGGCTCCGTGGTCCCCGTGGGCCGCCCCGTGTCCGTCCGCTGCCGGGGGCCCCCCGAGGCCCAGCTCTTCTTCCTGAAGAAAGAGCAGGAGGTCTTCGTGGGCACCGAGCGGCCCGTCTGGAACGAGGGGCACTTCTCCTTCCCCACGATGGAGCGGGCCATGGTGGGCGTGTACAGCTGCGCCTACCAGGTGGGGAGCAGCCATTCCCCGTCCAGCGACAGCGTGAACCTGGCCGTGTCAGGTAAGGGGGCACGGGCCCTGCTCCCTCCCCGCAGGTGGACCCCCAGCTGCCCCTGCCTGGGCTGCCCTGCTTTCTCCCTCCTCACAGATGGCCCCCCCCAGCTGCCCCAGCCTGGGCTGCCCTGCTCCCTCCCTCCCCCTCCTCCCCTCCCCGCAGGTGGACCCCCAGCTGCCCCTGCCTGGGCTGCCCTGCTCCCTCCCTCCTTGCAGATGGACCCCCCTGCCTGGGCTGCCCTGCTCCCTCCTTCTCCTCCTCCTTCCCCTCCCCCCTCCCCCCCGGTAGACCCCCAGCTGCCCCTGCCTGGGCTGCCCTGCTTTCTCCCTCCTCACAGATGGCCCTCCCCCAGCTGCCCCTGCCTGGGCTGCCCTGCTCCCTCCCTCCTCATAGATGGACCCCGCCCCCAACTGCCCTGTGCCGGGAGGGAGGCAGGGCTCCCTCCCTCTAAGACCTCCTTTTCCCACAGGTGTGCTCCCTAAACCCTTGCTCTCAGCCAGCCCCGGCACCCAGCTGGTCTCTGGCCAGTCCCTATCATTTAAGTGCTGGTCAGAACACAAGTTGGACCGGCTGATCGTGTACCAGGACAAAGGGCTGGTACCGCCCACATTCGGCCTGGCCCAGAACTCGGTGACAGAGCTCCAGTTCTCCAGGATCAACAGCAAGTACACGGGCACCTTCTTCTGCATGGGCTTTGCCAGCAAAGAGCCCCTCTTGTGGTCCGTGCCCAGCGACCCCGTGGAGCTCACAGGTGCGTGCCAGCCTGGCCCCTCCTCTCTTCCCGGCTGGGAGCTCAGAGGGCGCAGGGTCAGAGAGCAGAGCCGGAGGGAGGTCCCCAGGCTTCGGGTCCAAAGCCGGGAGAGATTAAACTCCTCGGCAGAGGCAAGGACTCAGGCCTTCCTGACACAGTCGGGATTCCCCCTGGCTGCTTGTCTGATGCCAGAGTCTGGGGCCTGAGCCCCGGATAGCTCAGGGCCGAGATAGGAAGGGTCAGTCCCAGGCAGAGAGTTTGTAGGGGATGGGTGGGGGAGCATCCAAGTCTTCTGAGGAGGAAAGGGTCTGGTCAGTAAAGGCCCCTATCCCTCAGTTTCCCAATCCCAGGATCATGCTGTGGACGTCGTCGTACTTGTGATCCCGCTGGCCCTGGGCACTCTGCTGTCCTAGGCATGGATTGGCTGAAAGGGATCCAGAGAAGGACGCCCGAGATCCCTTGGCCTGCCCTGAGCGTGCAAGCACACACAATAAACCACCAGGTCAATGTCGCATGTTGCCTCTCTGTCCTGGGGATATGCTGGGAGCGGGGGCTTCCCTGGGAGGGAGGAGGGCCACCTAGGCACATGGTGGCCGTGGGTCTGTGCTCCTTCAGGTGCCTCGGCTGCACTAGGACAGTATGGACAGGCGTGTGTGCGTGAGCGCGCGTGTGTCTGTGTATATGTATATGTATGTGTGTATCGTGTAAGTGTATGTATATGTCTGTGTGTATGTCTATATATGTATATGTGTCTATATATGTGTATGTGTGTATGTCAGCATTGTGTCTCTGTGTATGTGTGTATATGTATATGTGTATTTATGTGTGTGTATCTATATATGTGTGTGTATATGCATGCATGTATGAGTATATACATGTGTCTGTATGTATATGTATTATGTGTGTATGTCTGCATATGTGCATTATGTGTATCTGTGTGCCTGTGTGTCTATGTATGTCT